TTAATTAATTAATTAAAACATCACGGCAAAACTCTGGGATTAATAGCCACACTAAACATGCAAGCTTGAAGACTGTACAAAAGGCACACATGTGAATAGAATTTTGTAAAACAAATGAATGGTTAGCTGGCGTCTGATCCTTAGGTCAATGGTTACTTCTCAGATGCTTTGTGTTCTAATTTGTTTCAAAATTTTGATTTGATACTCAAAATGATTAACAGATTGGTCTATGTTAAAGTATTATGTCCAGCCAAAAATTCACTCCAGGAACACCCGGCTTTATCATACATGCATTTGTTTCAGTAATCGTCGTATTAATCTTTGTTTCGCTCTATTGAATTGAATTATGATTCTAATTTTGCACAAATCTGATCTCAATCATAATCTCTCAACTAACATCTTGCATACAACAAAATCACAAGTACCAGTCTGTAAATACATGGCATTAACAAACACATGAAACATATACAATAAAGGTTGATCTGTAAAGAAACGCGTTTTCTGTTTCCCCCAGGACACCAATCGCTTGAATATACAATGTAGGTCAATCAAGAAAACGTTACATAGTAAATGAGATCTAGCATCACTGATGAGTCCTGGTTAATTCATCGTTTGGTTTACTGTAACTCACTTCTTATTTAAGTAAAGTGTTGTTTACGTTTGTGTCTTTTGTATAATGTTAGAGCTGCGGCGTGTATTCATCAAACTTTTTTTTGTACTTTTGTATGAGCAATATTAAAATGTAACATTGTAACATTATCCGACGACTTACCTGTATAGATCAGGCTCTCTTTATATCCTTAAATAACTGTAAAATAAACGTCGGTTACCACCTGACTGGTTTTCTGCAGCCTTCGTAGAGTTGTAATGATGCCTGAGCCTGTACTCATATTCATTCGTTTACACTCACTCATCACTCTCTCCTATCAAACCCTATCGCAAACATCATTACCATTTAACCAAATTGATGTAAAAATATGCAGATGTTTTGATATATACAAATATACCTCGGTAGCGCAATTCCTACTTAAAATTTCTTTATCGCGATTATATTACGGAGTACACATGTATCAACAAACTTAATCCTCGCTTTTATTAATGATCGTTTAACTCGCCTTCACGTTTGGCTTTAGTTTTTATCCTCGAACTACATGAGTAAACTTCAAATATTACTAAGAGATAAAGGATCTATCTTTTAAACTTCTTACCGCTGTGTGCGTGACCTGCATTCAATACATCCACCATAAAAGCATAGGATACTATCAAACAAACCAGAGGGAAACATTATTCAAACAAACAGGACATCCAAAAACAAATGGAAAATTAGCCACATCGAAATATGATATTGCAAATGCATTAGGAACTGCTTTTCTCAAAACGTCATCTGCAATTTTTTTAAAATTTGACTTCTAGAGAAAAAACTAAGTTGAAATTCTCTTCCAAAAACAAATAAACCTTTCTCAATGTTAAAACTTCGAGAATCGTTGAATAAAATCACATGAATATGCAATGTTGAAAGGCGGAGATAATCCACGGTGTATAGAATGTGGCGAGCCATTCACCGTTACACATTTTTATTAGACTGCATTGACCTTCACGTTACAAGTCTACATACCCTTTTTGAAACTATTTAGATTTATAAATTCTATGTTATCTGAAAGATGTTGGTTTACATTATAGAATACGACTTACCATTTTAATCTTTTGTGATAAAATAACATTTTAAAACTTTTAGCCTTTATCTTTTACCTCTAAGTTTGTTTGATGTTATTTACGTTTTAGATCGTTGTGTCTTTCACCGGTTGGTTTCCCTAATGACCTTAAATGATCACTGGATGAAGGTAAATACCAGTTAGTTTGATAACATTATAGTGTGATAGGATAGTATGTCGTGTTGACCAGCGACAGCCTTCCTCTGTAGGAATCTTAAATTGGCAATTAGTTGGTCCTATCATCCGTGGATGTCCTTTTTCTATAGCGTTTGCTTTCGCAAGGACTAAAATGAGCAATTTAACGAAACAACAGGACAATGGCGGTACTAAACGTTCATCAGACATACCTTGACTGAACTTACATTATTGCACAGTGTACGTTCTTTAGAAAGGGCTCTAATCTGTTAACACCGTTTGTACTGATTAAAAATTTTCTGAAAAGTTGCTGAAATTAATGTCTTACATTGCACTGCTTAAGGTATATCTATACATGATTTACCTACAATTTCTGACATGATTTGTCATTTAATAGTCTTGTTTTGTGATGTTCTCACAATTTTTGTGTTTATTGCGACAGAGTGCCCTATATGTACATCTATCATATTTCATTAAAAAACGATTTTTCCAGTGGGCCATCACGTTGTGAAGTTTCTATTCAAACTGGCTTAATTTCAAACATAAATCTGCAAAATCATATTGAAATACGTTCACAACATATCCAGTTTAATCAATATCCATTCATGTTTACCCCAGCTATGTTCACAAGGTCCAATGATAATAAAATTGCCAAGGGCTATAACTCTGTAAGATCGATTCGGTCCCATTGTCGAACTCTTCAGAAATTGTATTAATGTTAGGCTTCACTGCATATTTAATCCCATCTAAAATTGTCCAAACTTACTCAAGTTATCCTGTTTATAAAAACATAACCGTCTTGATCATCCTTGAATGAAGAACGTCTAGAAGTGTATACATTTGGGTTTCGGACTTCCTCAGTTAAGAGGCGCATGACCAAACTGGGAAGAGTAGAGAAAAGAAGGTCATTGTCTGAAATATATACTGTATTTGTAAATGAAAATGGACAAAAGTAGCTGGTCTGCAATTTTTATTCAATGGTCATATATTTCAAATATTTAGAGAATTTTATAGACATTATATTGCATTCAAGTGACAGTAATATTGAACATATAAATCTTGACACTTTCCTAGATAGCAATAGTGGTAATATTCCAAAACCTAATTAGACACAATATTTATTGATAGAATGGGTAATTTCAAATTGATATATCTTCTTATACTTTCAGAAATATAAATAATGATCAGATGATTTCACTTCTGATTTTTAAAATGTTTTTGGTGTAATTTAAGTAATTATATGGTATTTTTATGGATTCTTTAATGGTAAATTATTAATTGTATACGTATGCCCAAGAAAGACAAATCAAGGCAGTTTATTTGAATTCTTTACTTGATTTTCAATATTGGTATTAAAATATAAATGGGATAAACCAAGATAATGTTCTTACTCCATTACCATAGTACTCAGATGATGCGTCAGTTATTTTAGATGGTGGAAGATATCGTTACAGAGTCATTTGATGCATTGGAAAATTGCAAAATGTCTTGGTCTAAAAGTAAATCAAGGCAAAATATGAGTTGTTTGGAACGGCAGTGAAATATAGCTATGATACATATTCTTTAGAGTGGAATATTTAGTGGGGTATAACTAAATAAACCAAATTGTCAAACTAAAATATGATGAAAAAAATGTCTAATGATTTGGAAGAATACACATTTTAAAGTCCCTTCTCATATGCAATCACCTTTGCATATTCGTAAGAAATTCAGACGAATCCGCTATCAGAAAACTAAATACAGAACCTTTTAAAACTCGTTTTTGTTTTGTTTTTGTTTTTTGTTTGGCAATGTAAATTAGATAAAATATCTGACAGGTGTCATCATGAAGAATTATCGTGAACGAAGGGGGAGGGGGGGAAGCTTAAATTTAAGCACAATATCTTTTATTTGCACTTAAAAAACTGATCTGGTTACGTAGGCTATATATACAACAGATGGAAAATGGCACAAAATCGTTGAAAAATATGGACACAATGGTATTTGAGCAAATAAATCACACAAAACTGTAATGATCATTTTGGAATGATATGTTAAAATTTGGAGTAGGTTAGTCAAACAAGTGAAACATTCAATATACTAACGACAACATTCTTTACTATACCCAACAGGCACAATAAACAAATACAGAATAAAAATTATAGTGGTAGTGTATTTTTTGTTTTTTTATAGTTATGAGTTTAAACAAAAAATCAACATATGCGTCTTTGATTCCATTAAAAATCTTTTGCATGAACATATTTCAAATGTAATGTAAGGTACCCATACAACCCAGTTAGTTAATAATTATTTTTTGAGAACAAAAGGGATATGGAAGATTAAAATTTTGCTAATATACGTTTTCGAAGCTAAAAGATGAAAGATAAAAAATGTTTGAATTTGAAAGATGAATGGAGGCACTTCCGTTCACAATGGGTAGAAATTAGAATGGCTTTAGCTTATCATAAACCAACACATTTTAACAACTAACGCATATTTATAGGTCTTATTGATAGTCGTGTTTGTGTCCACCTTAAAACTGAAAATGAAGCCATTGTTCATGCACTTTGATCATGATTGTGAGAAAGTGGAATATTTGTTTTACATTTTGAGTCTGTTAGATGCGTTCTTGATTCCATTTGCTTTTAGAAGGACCCATTTGTTTTTTTATTTATACAATAAACATGTACGTATGTAAGAAAGATTTTCATCAGAATATTTTTATCTTGTGCATAATAAATAATTCCATTCTTTACTTTTCTGTCCTTTCTTCTCTTTATCTCTCATTTTCTTTCTCTCGCTCTAAAAACAAAAAATTCAACTCCTGGAATCTTGTGTCTGCCTTGCTTCATGACATGACGGAATCACAATACTAGCCGACAGAATTGATGACGGGATATGTCAATAAAACAGTTGTTTAATATGATTAAGAGTAGAGTTTCCGGTTACAGAGGACAGCACTAATAACTACCATGCCTTATCAGGAATAGTGAACCAGTTTACGTAAATACATTGCACTTCAAGAAGAATTTCAAGAATGAGATATACATGAACTGAATGTTAAAATATAAGATTGAACATATTATAAAACAAGTGTAAACACCATGTAGGTATATATCATTGTATATTTTCGATAAAAGCATTTCTCAGCTTGCTTTTCGTCATTTGTTGATTTTATTCCGTCTGGTTAATCTGAAAAAGAATGCATTTGTAAAACCTCAACAGTTAGCATATGAAAATTTCCGACGATGTGAAAGTTTCTGGGGTTGTAAGTTACACTTAAGCTTGTAATAAATAAGTGATACCATCTTTAGAGTAAATCTGATATCAATATCTAATTTTTCTGCTGCAAACTGCTTACAAATTACTGCTTGAAAGTCATAAAAATAAAAACTACATTTGAATTTAAATGTAGCAATAACAGTAATGTGTAATGTAATGAATAAACATGAATTCGGCCCTGAACAAATCTTAGTCATTGAACAACAGATGTGGAAATTCAGAAAATAGAGAACTGATGTATTATTAATTCAAATGAGTATTAAATTTGAGAATAAAGTATTGAAATCAGTATATCCATCACCTCTGCGATGCATTGAGTGACCACTTGTCGGAAATGTCGCACCAGCATCTGAATTGTCTGGTCAGCCGCCGTCCAGGGGTTCATAACCGTGTTCTTTAGGAAGACAAGAACGTCCTCTGTTTCTTTTGATACCTTGGAGAATACAAACACAATCATATTAATCAGAGAAGAGCTTTCCGTGCTAATCTATTATGTAAATTCTTGATCGAACATGTCATCCCAAGAAATATCCATTTAGTAAACCAAATATCAGAAGATTCGCACACGAACTTTCACGATCACTTGCCTGAAACATCACATTGTACCTTTTTTATTTCCTAAACATTGTTTTCACAATACCTTGAATCTCAATACAGAAAAATAAATCTTTTCAAAAAAACGGTTTTTAAATCCCTAAAACATACCCCTAGACGTTCTTTAAAATTTCCCAATATCGTGCTACATTCTTTCTGGGAAAGTCTCGATTTTGTCAGGAACAGTGGCACGTCACAAACACTTCTTTGTTTGGGATCTGTGTGTGACAGTCTGTTGAATACGGCCATGTTTAGACGGTTACATTTGACGACACACGCGTTACCCTTGACATTAACGGCGAAGGCATTGACGGATAAATCAGGACCTATCTCCGAAAGGAAATCCATCGTCTCGGTATCCTGGCGTTTAACGAAATAAACTATTTCAATATCATACAAAATAACATTTATGTTACTTAGAACGTAGGATATGTTAACACCATTTACATGTCATTACAGTGAGTTCGCACTATGAATAATTTAGAACACCTGTTATCCACATGCGCTGTCTATATGACCATGACTATTGCGACGGGATAGAATTTTCGTCTCCCAACCAATAACTCTGAATTTCACTCTTGATCTCCGTTAACTGATATCAACTAGAAAAAATAACAATTAAATCTGATATTATCTTTTGATACCATTTCAAAACTACACTAGTATTCAGCATTACACATACCAGAACTATATCCTCATAAGATGAACGTAAAATTCTTTCACGGATAAATTTCATCGCTTTTTCCTCATCATAAGCCTCCGGAATCGGGATCAAAGGAACACAAACAAATTCGTCATCAGGATTGGCTGCTGTTAGCCATGCGCAGTAGAACAGTTTGGCGCCGAGGATTGACTGTCCTAGAATTCGTCCATATCCAGAACTGTGCAGACCGATCACCTGCAAACATTTTCCATCATACTATTGCTAGTTATTTAGTACATTAAAGGTTCAAATGTTTGTTTAGAGAAGGGGTTGGGAGCGCTTAGATTGTAGGTGGTGGGTAACACGACCGAAAGTCATATACCTTCTTTTCGTATTTTTTCATTGTAAGTTCGATAATGACTCTCACTCAAACACAACCGCGATATTTAATTTATTGGAATAATTCAAAAACCCAGTTTTAGATACAATTAAGCTAAATTTGGATTAAAACTGCATCAACATCTCACTCGTCAGTATTGCTAAGGGAACAAAATCTAGATTGGGGCATGATGCAGTAGACCTAAACCTATATTGCATATTTAGTTTTTTTATATATATTATTGAATATTATATTTATATTTTATCTTATATTTTCATTGTTATATTTTTTACCATTTGCAAATTGTAAAACCAAACTGCAAAGTTGTTATTGTTTTGGTTTTATTTGATGCAAGGAAAGAGAATATTTATTTCTATTATATAGTTCAATTTCATGGAATTGGGTAGAAACTCTTACTTGTCTTTTAATGGTGCCAGTTTAAATGTAACTCTTTGTTTAATTGTGCGTTCTATTACTATAACTCAGCTATATAATATAAATTCATATCTAAGACACAACCAGGCAAATTATTTCTCAAAAATTGAAATAAATACAACACTGTTATAGTTAAATTAAGATTTTCCAGAGCCAATGTTGTAAGTAATATTATTTAACATGTCATCTACGAACATAACTTTGTTGGACAGTCTGAAGTATCACACTGCTCAAAAAATGATAGCTTTTCATGACCTCTTACGCTAGTGGTCAGTAATATAAAGGGATAGTATGTTGTGTTCATTTAAAAAATAGAAATGGATTTCCAAAATTCATTAAATTATCACGAAAGTAGACTGATCTCCTACAGCATGTAGTCCGTTGTTATACGTGCTTGTATTAAATCTAGCTGTAATTTCAATGCGGAAAAAGATAAGCCAGTGGTTTCAGCATCGAAAATAGCATTGCTGTTGTTAAAGCATTCGTTGTGCTTGGAATTGAATACGTACATTTCCTGATATATCAAAAACGTGCCAAGCTCTTAAATAACGCTCAAATAGTAAAGTGACCCAAGAAATCTTTTACAATGAACAAGACACTGTGTACTTTTTTATACCCTAAGGGCGCATAAAGGATTGACAAACTTAAAGCGCTGAAGTTAGTCTTTCAATTTCAAAGGTAAAAAAATGGATAAGCGAATGAATGGCGTAAACGTATTTTAACATAAAACGTTGTATTGTGCAGGCATTTTATACAGTATAAGGTAGCACAGATTGACCACATATACTATTTACCAGACATTAAGTCCTTCCGGCTTTTTTAAATTCCTTTGCGGAATAAAAAAAACTTCTTGAAAAGTACGCTTCCAGAACTGTACTAGGTGCTGCAATATTTTAACAGACGGAACCTTTTGCGCAGAGTTTACCACATGGATAGCGCTATTACGATATCGTGTTCCTGCTTAACGGGGATACTATTGTTGATGGTTACAGAACAACAATATTAAAAATAAAGATTTGATTGATGGAAACTTACAAAAGCATTTATTGAATTGATCTCGTATAACGTTATCTTCAGCTTTTGATTATCTGGCGTGTTTGTATGTTAGGTTTAACACGAGTTTTATATTTTTTCAGTTAACATAGTTTCAAGCCCGCCGTAAATTACCTTGTGAGCCAGGTAGACACCAGCTGCGGCTGCCCCTGGTTTCGAAGTCTCGAGTCCATAACAATGACTATTCGTATTGCCCGTACCATGCAGCATATCAGTAGCAATAGCCAAGGTTGACTTCATTTTTCCGTTCCTTCAGAGAAACCATATTTTGTACATAGGTTTATTCTTAATTTCACTTTTCAATGATATTAATATTCATGTCGTTTAACTCTATAGCGATTAACCGTCATTTTCATGCACGATTTAATAAAGGAGACTACAAAGTATGGATGTTTTGGTATTTTAGATGAAGTCATAAGAGAAGGAGACAGAACTTCAGTTGCAAATCAGCCATGTTGATATATCTGTCATATGTAAATACTCTAAAAAACCATCCAATTCGGCAGTCAGTGTGTAAAGATGGCACCTTCTGCTTCAAATGTATTATCGTTAGAGACAAATAGTTTGGGATCCTTTTCTTTCTAAAATGGCAAAGTTTCCTTGATACCGCCTCTCAGGCTCTGGATTCTGTCCATTGGCGTCGACATCCAAAACTCCTTGAAATGGTCGCTACTAACACCTGCTAACGACTGGTTTACCCGTTGTCGTATAGTGTGACCGGGCGGGGAGCCCTGCTGGAGGCCTTCGGCAGTATATTTTAGTTCAATTGTTGTATGAAATAGGTTTCAATTCCGCTATATCATTCAGTGGCTTATACTAACATATCACAACTTCTCACAAACACTCTCACGACCATAGCTGTTGATCGGACGTTCGTCCATGTAAACTACAACTAGTTTCCGGTTCCGTTTGTAAACCGGATGGAAGCGTACCAGGCTATGGATGCCAATTCGGTCAAGCATATGAACATGCATTTGATGTCAAAGTGAGACGTCTTCCAAAATACAATCATAGTAGATATAATGTAATATTCTTTGTTGTTGTATTCGCTTATATATCATTAATACGCTGAATGGCAGTATTAAGACCGTATACTACTATTTACAGTGATTCGGTCGGTATTGGAATTAATAAATCTAGATGTCTCCTAGGTAAACAAAATTTGCCGCTGGTCACTTTCACTTCGGTGTTAATATACAGTGTACTGACAAACGAAGTTGTTGGACTTATATTGAACCTGTACAGAGAGACACTAACGGTGGAAGCACATGAAGAAAGAAAAGACAAAATGAAGAGATCATGATACCAAATGTTGTATGAGGGGCAAAGATATATTTTGGTCTCTTCAATGTCGTCTCGGAAAAAAGCAAAACCCCCGAAGCTGCATTGACGAGTAAACACTTTTTATCGCCTCATGCTGTTAGATACAGCTTTCAAAAACGAAAAAAACTCGTGTTCTTATGAATAAATGTAACAATTGTATATATACTTTATCAGTGACGTGCACATTACAGTATTTTGAACAAATTTCATACATCATGTAATATGATATATTATATCTTACCGGTAACAAATACCTCCAGCCGGATAGGGACAATATCCTGTCTTGTGGGGATCAATGGTTACTGTATCTACATCCTTTAAGCAGGAGAGTTGTTTGCAGACGTAATTACTGATAGGAAAGGCTGGTAACAAGTGGTTTTTCTCCTCTGACTTTCTCATCAGGGTCGCGTAATAACCACCCCAAGCTCCATCAGCTAACAGGTAGAAATTTAGGCCCTGAAACACGTTCAATGGAATTGTTATTTTTAAATACCATGCAGAAAACTAGCAACAAAACCCCGCATCTAAACAATTTCACAAGTTCTCTCTTCGTTATTAATTTGTCAATGAGATAATTCATAATATTAATATTTTTCATAGTAATTCATGTTACTTTTTTCCTATACTCTGCTCTCAAGTTCAGAATCTCTTCAACAGGATCCACAGCTCCGTGCTCTGTCGTGCCGATTACACATATCAAGGCAATAATCGGGACCTTCTTCACTAAACATTCTTCTAGACGTTTCTGCAGAGCTGAAATGAAATTATATAGCCGTTCATAAATTATTTGCGTTTTCAGAAATCTTATGTTTCTTATATTTGAAGACAAGACATTATCAATATATATATATTAACATAGGATATCTACTTACCTTCCCGTAAACCAATCTTTGGTTGCTTGTACATACATATATATTTAAGTTATTGATGTGTTTTATAGGATAGGACGAGGTATTGAAATCTGCCAGACTTGAAGTTCAAACATCGTGCATTGTGCAGTTGAAATTCTTAAGTTATTATCATGTTCCAAATCGGTGCAATACAACTCGAGATTGCAGGACGGTTTGTTATTTAAAGCAAAATTTTACTGCAACTGCTTAAGCATCCGACTGTCTAAAAAATGGCCGATCATGAGTTACCAACTCTCCTGAAGACCGACTAATACTGCTGCAGGCATCTTCGCGAACGGTTTCCTCCTGTAATCGTAACAGCAAGGAATTTGCATGGTCGATGGGTAGACAGCCTGACCATCCGTAACAGGCTGAAACGTCATGGAATATGTGCGAGGAGGCCTTACGCATGCACCATCTTTAGGCGACGCTTATTGATGATGTGTGTAAAGTATCAATAATTTTTGTGGGTCATTACCGTTAGAGTGTCTGACATACCTTCCATATCCATTCTAGCATTACGGTCGAAGGGAACACACACCAGATGACTTCCTCCAATCCCCAAAAGTGTCGCTGCCTTATCCCAGGAAAAGTGGTTGGCAGCAGAGGTCATAACTACCGGTTCGGTTCTCAAGTCGTGCAGTCGGAAGAACTCGACAAATCCTTTGTAAGCCATACCGTACCTTGAATAAAGTTCGAATCTTGAATTCGTTGCACAGGGGAGATTATTACAAATCAATGTCGATAAAAATACTTCAATATAAAGATAACAGGTCTAGCCATGTGATGTTGCTGTCTCCAGATTATAGCATCCGTCTACACAGTTCTCATAATGATCTTTGCTTTTTGAGGACAATACGTCATAATTTCATTACTATCAACATACCAGCAGCGGTTGAATCGTTCTTGATTTCTGTCTTTATATGACACTGGGAAAGGCAAAACAACACTTGACCTACAACACGCACTTCCCCAACCCCGATACTCGTATGATCAATCGTAGCAAAGAATAAAGTCCTTACTTGTTTATATCACCTTGAAAATAAGTGTGGTCTTTGCCTGTCAGACGCTCAATTTCTTGTGGTAAAGATATGACGTCATCAAGGTTAAGGTTCAGAAGGTCCCATGTAGAGGAGGCTATCAACTTCTGTTTTCTATCCAATCTGGGAATATACACCCTTAGATCCTTTACATCTGCAAAAGTTGGTTCTTCCCGCATAGCTTTTTGGACTGCCAAAGGGAAGAACTTTACATTTCTGGACGCCCATAAACCTTCGATATTGGCCGATGATCCACCACTTGTGATGTATCCTCTTGGACACTGTGACACGTCAAAGCCAATCAAGTCACACAATTGTTTCCCAACCTCCTTCTCCAGTTGTATTGTCACTGGACCAGTCTCTCCGCACGCATTGTTTGCATTCGTCATCCAGGCAGACAGAAATCCTAATTTGGCTGGTATCGTTGTGTTAGAGACCATATGACCCTGTTGATGTATGGAATACTCATGATTTATGTAGCGCTCGGCACCCTCAAAAAATAACATTCAGAATTCATTGATGAGTCATATAGCTTATTGTGACGACACGTTAGCTAATCAATTGACGTAACACATCCACAGATAACAATGAGGCGTAACAATAAAAACTCTAGAAGAAAAATCAGATAGATATGACTTCAAGTTTGACATCCACAACACTTGTCCGAAAAATCGATCAAGTGATAAAAAAGATCCCAGATTTGTTTCCATTTGATCTGTCACAAATGTGTCAACTAAGCCTTACTATATATCATATCTACTGAGCAAGTGCCTGTAGTAGGCTTATTATGAAACCACAAATTCGTATTATTCATGGTAATTTAAAAGGATATTTACAATACATTTCTTGATTGAAATTGCGCATTAACATTTAAGGGAGGAAATAATTGTTATGTTATGGTCATATCACTTTTAATTTCTCATAATATTTATATTTCGTACTTAATGTTTAACTTAAATGATTGTTTCTTATTTTCTTTGACCGTTTAAGTTGACGTTAATGTTACCTGGTACCGGATACTGGAGTACGGAATGGATTCAGCCAATGTCTCATTCAGAAACTTCAGTTCCACCTTCAGTTTAGTCATTTCATCTCTATAAATAGCTGAAGATTTCACCTCAGGGGTAATAAGTAATGGATCTTCTGGGAAGTATTTTCGTGGTTTGATATTTTGTTGAAGTGTATTCAAAGCTAATTCAAGAAATTCCCTCTCATTTTCACCTGACGTCCCTATAAACCAAGATCCTAGTTTTTTCCACTGAGAGCCGCAAACATCTGCATCAATTCTGTTTTCCCAAATGGCATTTTCATACCCATTGCAATACGCCATATTGCAATATGTCCTTAATAAAGACAAGAACGAGCGGTTAGAACAAGTTAAATGAAAAACGAAGGCAATGACAAGAACAAAAAGCTGTGACTTGTGCTATTCAAGTCAATTGTGTATATATACATACATATATGTATATTAATATCTCTGACTTAATATTTGAAATTCCTGGTAAAAACTAATTAATAACCAGTTGATCTGGAATATCGAGAATAAAAACAACAACGATATCGAAAAGGTAAACAAAATGAGATGAAATGAATGGAGACGATCAAATCGGCAAACCCGATGTTAGAAACTGGTATTCACCTATATGAACGGATACAGCACAATCGGAAAACGTCACATTTGTTCACAACGTCCACAGTGTGTAAGCCACGTTGTGAGACCGTTACTTTTCAAACATTTACGTCACGTTCGTCACGGATGTTGCAACAAGGGTGTTGTCACCGGGGCGAAGTAACTCACACTTGGCAAAATTTAGGTTCAGGTGTCTTTATTAGCATCCTATTTACGAAAGAAAAAAACTACAAAAACAAATATACATACTTGCAATAACTTCCGAAACGGACTCGACCTGTCGCGAATGCAAATGATACGCAACCTTACACTCGACATTGTCAACCTACCAGGCTTCTGAATGGCGACGGAATTCTTTACGATATAAGGGAATCGTGACATAAACAGGTGTGGGAACGCAATAAGCATGTGATGCGAGGTGTTAAATTGCAGAGTTGCATTCCTGTTGTTGTCCTTGTCACGTCGGACCAGTTCTGCTACATACCATACATTCCAGAGGACATATACAGTCATGTAAACAACACCCCATGCATGCACAGTTACTTCACATACACGTAAACAGAATACATACACGTAAACAGATATACTAAATATATACATATAACCATAAGCACTGTAGGGACTCCTGGGTGACCACTCCAAGCTTAAAAGATTGTACAGGACAACCTTTGATTGTAATCCCTGATATAACAACAGCTTCTATGGCTTCACCAACTTAACAGGCATTATCCCCACATTAGGGATGTACCGGGTAGTCAACACCATACAATCTGTGAATGAAACTCCACATTTAAAGTATCAAAAATAATCAAAATTTCCTGAATAGTATCTTACACAAAAATTCCACCCTAGGTCCCTCATTAATGAGCTGTGACATAACCCACTCTCTGTCCGGGATTTTAAAGGTTTTTTCTGGACGTACTTTCCACTCCGGACCCCTAGGAGACTCCACAACCTAACCAAGCTCAGAACCATGATCATCCCTAAAGGATACTGCAGAGGCAGTTCTGAATTCATCAGCAACTCTGTTAACTGGCCTTGAGCTTCTGTTTTTTTTTTCTAAGCTCTAGGGCCGTTTAGAGGGGAAATCAGACATGGGGAATAATATATCGCTCACTACAACTAACAAATGAACTAGTACTGCTCAAATATGAATCAGAGACAGTATGGGTACTTGGCTTGTTTATTTTTTGGATCGACTAACAGGAGCTGTGAGGGCTTTGTTACTCGTCTGCTCCTCTACTTCATCAATGGGCGGTGTCGTAAATGGCAACAACATATTCCGGAGCAGTGTACGAAGGGGACCAGTTCCCTTCTCACTTCGCATCTTTTAGATAGTTATCTTATCATCTCTGTTTCCCTTCCTATGTGGATCATGCTTCCATCTGCCAGCTAGTTTGTGTTTCCCTTGGAAACCCACTTTTCTGGACCAGCATCTGATCACCCTAACTCAATGGTACACTCCCTAACCTTCGTATCATGCCTAGCCTTGTTTTGTCAGGCTGTTATTGACTTCGTTAGCTGCAGCATGGTATGTATACTCCCCCCCATCCCCTTGCTGTCTGTAGCAACACCTAGAAAGCCATCTACAGCAAGCCGGATGTGCCAACTAAACATCAGAAAGTGGGGAAGTGGAGGAACCATGGATGGGACATACGACTTCCAATCCACTTTTTTCATCTACAACTGTGGCAAGCATGTCAAGGAGAGTATGATTGAACCTCTCTGTAAAACCATTTTCCCAATGGGTGGTATAGAATTGTTCTAGGTTTCTTAACCCCTGCGAACTTACAAGGTTTCTTTAACATCTTGCTTTCGGAGTCACGACCCTGGTCGCTTTGATGCTTCTCTGGGAACTCATAATGAACATTTAAGTTCTTTAAGAGAACTTTGGTGACTCACCTCATCGTGGACACCGTATAAAGCTTAGGCCCTGTGAGCTGTTGGTACTAACATCTGCTTGGCCCGAGTACCATCTACCGTAACTGTCATTTAAAGAACTCCTTGGTTCAAAGAAATGCACCTACGCTCCCTAAGATACTTGCGTACCCAAGACAATATGTTTGATTAAACTTTCTTGTTGAACAAAACGTTACACACATACGTTTTAGGGATGTTATATGAAAAAATCCTGCAAACTTTAGATTTTTCTCTAAATGTTGTGTATAATAGAAAGGAATTGATGATTCTATTTACTTAAATATACTTGTTACAATCCAAATGATTGTGCAGCATTATGAGAAGGGTTTCTCTTATGTGAATCTATATTTAGTGAACGTATTTGAGATTTTATATAAAAATCAATATTTCGTTAAAGAAAAGTACATCCTCTCCTGATATATTGACAGATACAGCGTAAATATACATGTAGCAACAAATACCCTCAGAGAGGCGTCAAACTATTAAAAGAGATATCTTTACCTTTTGTCCTCTTTCCCCACGAACGTTTTGTCCTTCTTGATAGGTTTGGCTTCGAATTGAATGTAAGCCCAGGGGAGAAAGTATATGTGATGAAGTCTCACAACAGTTTAAGAGCACGATATTCATGTATAATATCATATACCTGGCACAGTTTACTGACAATCACGAAATTTTGTTTCTCTAGACAGATAGAGTTACAAACTTGCATTTACAGGCTGGCGATTGTAAAGCTCAGTTTACAAGTCATGTAAAGATGTTTTTAAGCTAAATCATAAGGATATCTGATATCTCTGTCAAATGAGTAGCCGAATAACTGCAATCTGACACTTTAAAGGTGCCCGATGAAATCTTTGCGACAGTTGTAGAGCACGATATACCTGTATAATGAATCATATACCAAATAAAAATAGTATTTTTTATCTGTCGATTCAGATTACTCCCAGCGATATATATCGCACTATTTACTGACAATCACGATTTATTTTTTCACTCGGGTTACTAGAGTTACAAACTTTGTTTACAGAATGAGTGTATTTACAAACTGGTACCTGTGGTTTAGGTGTATGCTAGATGTTAAGTTGAGAGATTATGATTGGGATCAGATTTGTGCAAAATTAGAACCATAATCCAAACTTATATTCAAGAAAACAAAATAAAGATTAACACGGCGATCTGAATTTTGGCTGGACATAATACCTTTACATAGACCAAACTTTTAATCATTTTGAGAATCAAATCAAAATTTTGAAACAAATTAGAGGATAAATCCTCTGAGAAGTAACCATAAACCTTCGCATAAGACGACAACCTGATTCATTTGTTATACAAAATGCCATTCACATGTATGCCTTTGGTCTTCAAGCTAGCAGGTTTAGTGTGGACATTTAGTCCCAGAGGTTTGCCGTGATGTTTTACTTCATTCAAATAGTTGCACGGTTCAGAATATACAGATGTACTTAACGTTTTTTCTTAAATTATCTGATATCTGGAAAACACGAAATTCGTTGTGTTGAGAAACTGTTAACAGCTGATGTGTTATCATATCTATCTAAACATATCAATCACCCATTTTGCCATGATAAATTCAAACAGCTGCTGAAGCAAAGTCTGTTGGGAAATTAACGGTGTTGACGGATAAAATTGTTATATACTTAATATTTAATTCAGACTTTTTACTTTTAGTATGTCATAAGGGCATATGTGATATTTGTTACCGGTTGCAATTGGAACAGCTCTTCAAGTGTATCACAGTATAACTATTTCACTAACAGCCGAGTGCTTTAGTTTCAAGGGCTTTTATTGAAGAATCTGTTACAATGTTTTATCTACCTCGCCCTAGAATATATTCAGAGTAAATAGATCTTTTATCCATTCAGACTCTTTCTATCGAAAATATTTCCATTCGTAATACATAAATACTATATATTGAACTTGTCTGTAACGTTTGTATTGCTTTCTGCTGGGTTCCTTGGCACATTGGAATACAAGGCAATGAAAAAACAGATCTTGCCTGTCAAATGTTTGTGTTTGATGTGTATTTTTGCGTTGAAGCCTGTGTTTTGAGTGTGATTTTGAATATGCATAACCACTATCATAACAATAAAGCACTCGAGAGCAACTGCAACGTCTAGTCAGAGCGCATAGGTATTTATTTGGTACGGTTAAAAATACCTCTACGTATATACGACCACATACTGTATAAAATTTACAAACATACCAACATATTACGTTTGGAAACACTACTATTTATGTATTATGTGGAATAGTGATACTCATCATGGATGAAAAATCACCACAAAAGTGTTTTCGAGTTTTTATTCTTTTTTATTCCTTTTTTTTTACTTTTGTAAAAAATCATTATTTATATCAGTAATCAGTTACCAATGTTCGAGATCAACCTAGGAACCCCCAACAATTTCGGAACTACACGCTTGTCTGTCCAAACAGACAAGTGTCCGTTATTCGTGTTGGTCTTCTGAGTAATCTGAGATCCCTTCAACGAAGTTAAGGGGTATACTGATGTAATGGTGTACTTTTCTAAAGCATGTCATTTGACATGATTTTATTTATTTATTTATTTTTTTTTTTTGTATCTATTTAATATTGATTAGTTTTTTTGTATGTATTTAATGCGTGTTCTCATCAACGATTACCGTATAAGTAGTAATTTTCACGGGTCAAAATTTTCGCGATTTTCTTTTCAATTGATCGAATAGTATTTTAACGAATGCAAAAACGAAATTAAGATGTAAAAGGACATCTATATTTACGTGTCTAAT